GTCATATTTCTGGGTGAAAATAAGAAAAAACTTATTCATACAAACATAAGTACAAAAACTATTCGTTTTCCAGATACAGGGTGTTGAAGTTTCTATGAAAAATTGTTTTTCCATTGATTTCGAAAAAATGCTTCAGCTGATAGTGATAAACGTACCAAAACCATATTGACTTTTAATCTCGCTTTTAATTCATACTATAACTCAAAAATTGAACCTCTCTTGCAAACGTATCTACATCTACAAATTTCTCATTTTGTTTGGTCCTGATATGGAAGCCCATAGGCAGTTCAAAAAGAGAGGAGAAATCATCAATACAAGACATGTTTTGGAAACTAAATATATTGCTCAAGGAATATTTGACATACATAAATGACATGACCTTATATACAAAATGTTAACGAATGATTAGGTACTAATTACATAATATATCCTACAACAAAATACTGATTATGATAACACTGAGTATGTATGAGTATTTTTCATAATTAATCATCGATTTGATATGAATTTTTTACTAAAAAATCTTAAATTTCTACTGCTAAATTTAGATGAATCTAATTCCGTCTGATTCATGTAATTTGAGCAGTTTTCAAACAGATATGATATCAAGATATTAATGTTTTGATGTGTATTATATGTACAATATAAAATTTGGAGGTACTGAATTATACAACTAGCCTAGTTTTGATTTGAATATTTCCTAAAACATAAAAAGATTTCAACAGAAATAGTATTAAAATCATATGGACCAAATGATTGTATGCATTCGATGCATTCAAGATTTTTTTAAGCAAAAAAGATATGTGACCACTGGATGAAACAATTTTCTGTTTTTTTCCAAACTGATTTCCTGAATACAATCTAGCAATTTTTGGAAATGTATTGATTTTATTTGAGTCCGCAAATTGTTGAATATGGTTAGATGATTCGGAAACGAATGAAAAATAGGTGGTAGCAGTATATGTACTTTATTGTTGGTCTGTACGTACACAGCAACTGGCCATTGACCTTACGAGAGGTCCTGCAGCCATGTGTTCTCTGTGGGCTCTGTTACTGACTCCATACGCCACTTTACACGCAACAGAGAATTGTGCGGAATCACCTCCCGCCGAGGCAACGAAAATTAGAATTCATCTCATTTTATAAATAAAAATTCTCTGAATACTGTCTGTAGGTTAATCGAGGAGGTGATACATTCATTTTACTTGATTAGTTTAGAAACGAGGAGAGAAAATCCCAAATAATCAAAATGAAAAATTCTCTGATCTGCCGGGAATTCGGAATTCGAAAAATAAATTATGAATATTATGTCATATTTGAACATGATTGCACTTCCGGGAGTGAAGAGATCTTTAGGTCACTCCAAACAGGGCCCAAAATGACTCACTAGCACTAGATAGAGACTGAAGTGAACCGTTGATAAGAAACTCATTTCATTATTTCGAAGTGAGTTGACAAATTAACCATCTGATACTTGACAAATCAAATTGTAACATCACCTAATTTCAGTGATACTTATCCCGAGTGCAAAAAAATAGTGTGATTAAATGGGTCACTTTAGTCCCGTATACAGGGTGACGTTGAAATGAATACATATAGTACAAATATGTGTAATTTTTTGAAAAATCATCCAGTACAATTGTTTCAAGCAGACTGTACCCAACATCTAGTCTAGATCTTAAGTATCATTGTTTTTTCTACTGTTATTAGTAAAAATCCTGAGTTCTGTTCTATAACACAAATTGCATGATTGTATTCAGAAAACAATAATGCAGATACCAGACTAATTCATAAATAACAAGAACAAAATGGCACTTACATAAACTTAATGTGGTAATAATAACTAAATAATATTATTTGTCGTACTTAACCTATATAACTAAATTTGGCACATTTCAATTAGCACAGGGGTACAGTATAAAGAAGTATTTCTTCTTTACTTAATTTCTGGCAGAATCTCAGATTCACCTAAGCCCCCAACAACCAGCACTGAAGGTAAGTTTCAGTCAAAAGATTCAGATAAGTAAACCATCAAAATGGTTATACTGGCCACTTTTTTATTCATTTCCAATGACAGAAATAAGATGATTTTGCACTTATGAGATGGGTATTTTGGTCCAAGAAACACGAAGTTGATAATGAAAACGTGAACAAACCACTATTTATCAAAATATTCCATATAGAAAATTCAAAATTTTAGCATTGAATGAGTTTTCTGGTGATAACCTATATTAATTTTCTGTATCTTGCTTATTATTTGGCGAATTTGGAAATAGTTTCATAAAATGAATATGATTGCTATTTTCTGAACAAATGCGAATACCTGACCCAACCTGATAAATACCAGGGCAATCAGCCACAGAATAGGTTAAAAAATATACAATGATCTCACAAATTTAGTAGGTTCACAATTCATCACGCTGGATGGAGTTAGACAAAACTCTGGGAAGCAATTGGTTTCAGTCCGTTGAATCATTCCGATCGATCAACTTGTAACATGTAACAAATTACAGTAACTACGTACAGAATGGCCTTCATTAGGAATACTCAGTTGATGAATGCCATAAAGAAAAAAAATAATGTCATATCCTTCGGTAATATCTCAAAATAAATCCGATTTCGTGTATCACCTGTGTTGTCTCTTATGCAAATATAATTTGCACAGTATGTAGAAATACCTGTCTTATTTTATCTGAATCAGAGCCGTACATTGATACTTAGAGATCACACCACCAAAATAATGATAGCTGGAAACAGAAAACGTAATTTCATTGAAAACTGTTTGTTTGAACGCATTGATGTTTTGAGGTGAATTAGAATTATAATTAGAGTTAGTTTTGTATTTAGTGAGCGAAATGCTACCTTGGTGAACGATAACTGATTTTCTTTACGAGGCGCAGCCGAGTTGAAATAACAGTAGAGATCACTAAAGTATTTCGCGCACGAGTCAAAAGTCAAAAAACATCGTTTCAAAATAAGTAATATTCTTAGCTCAATGTGAAAAATAGTGTTGAACCGTCATAAAAAAATTAATTGTTGTTGAAAATTCAGAACTAAATGATTTCTTGGAATCCTGCTTGATTGAAGATCATAAAGGTTAAAATACAAACATCTCATATAGTTTACATGCAGTGCGTGAAATATGTATTTCGCACACTATTTTGCGCACGATGTCGTGGTAACGTAGGAAAATGAAAAACAGGGTAACATCGCATATTTTCATCAATGCGCGAACATTGTCATTTTTTGACGTTTACGAAAAAAAAATTGTTGTGACGGAAAAAAATTGTTCACATTTCATCTCTGTTGACAGAAATTACTTTTTTCCCACAGGAAAAATATCAGATATTAGCTCACTGCACAACCTTGATCTAATCTACTACTTTTTTCCCTTGTATATAATAAATAACTTTCATTTTGAAAAACAGAGAGAAAATTCCACAAAATCAAGCGAAGTAAACTCATATTGCAAACTGTTCCATTTGTTTGAGGAATATTTCATTATTGATCTACAAAGGTCCGTAGCACATGAGTGCCATATTGCCATACTAATGGTGGCATTGAATTCATTAGTTGTTTGTATGATCAGAAAATTCCATTGAAAGAGAAAATATCAAGTTCTGAACTATTCAACAAATTGAAAATTAAGGAGAATAATTGAATTCAATCCAATCAAAATATTGGTGTATCATGAGATTCAAACCATAGTCGCAAGTGAGCTATGGACCCTATAGCTTATTTTACCTACGACTATAATCAAACAAAATCAAATCAACAATCAACAATCAAACAAAATCAACAGTGAATGACACCCAATCATCTTGTCTTTGAATAGATAAATATCGTTCAACTATATATGACACAGCACTCAACCATGAAAACAAAATCGACAGTTTTTAGAACGCCAGAATTTGGTTCACGATTCACAGTAATAATTCACTGCCATGAATCCACTATACTTGCATAATACACATTATTGTTCACATAAGTAATTATGCATTGAGAAAAAAACTCATTCAGATATGTGACAATTAGTTGACTCCATGAATGCCTTGACTTTGATAACAAATCATCCACCTCCAAAATAATCGTCATACAGGACAAATCATTATTTTTTAAAGAAAAGCAGTAAAAAAATATGACGCGCACCTGAGATTCCTCAAGTCAAATCCAAAACTGAATGAAGCAAGAGGATATTTCACTAGCTCAACTTCTTGCAGACGTGAAAATGTTCGTCACATTCCAAAAATAATTTGCCAGTGTTGTCAAGTTAAATGCAATTAAATGTTCCACTAACCATTCCAGGCTGAATTATGAGATCTCTCAGTACCAATATGACCTATCAGCTTTTCAGAGCATAAATTGAAAAATAGAGAAATGCCAAATTTCAACAAATTCCTTCAAGTGTGGAAACCCCTCACCTTTTTCCACCACAGAATCACTGAGATCTATCAACTATCAAATTAATAAGTATATTAGGTTCTTTCTTCTGCTTTTCAGTGTCATATAAAATACACTGCACATATTTAATGTGATGCCAAACATAATTATGTATTTTGAGTCCTTAGTCACGATTTAATCTATTCTTGAGTTTGAGGTGTATTTGACACCTGCCCAAAACTAGGTGGAGATTAACTACACTGGTGTGAAATGCACTTCTTGAAAGAATACTACTACTGTATAAATTACAGGAAGTGTAGGAAATTAATAGACTTTTCATGCAAAAGAAAGGACCTATTATGACACTTCACTTTCCACTGAAAGACAATATGGCATTGTGCAGATAATCTCTGACTTTAACATTAATGTGAGGCCTAGAAAAGGAAATCAGAACTCATGTTGTCAGACTGCCAAAAGTGTGCAATCACAAACAATCACAAACAATATAGACTGAGAGCCAGCGATCAGCAGACTTTAAAGAATATTTTTAACAAAAAATTGTTTACTTTAAGATATTAAAACGGCAGACATGCTGAAATCTCATTTTTTAAGTAATTTTTGACCTTATTCGACTTCTGGACACGCCCAAAGGAACCGTCGTCGGGGATAGTGAATCCCCATTTCACCTACGGCAGGTGAAATAGTATACCTAGCATCAATATGGAATTTGCTAGTCTGCCGATCGCTGGCTCTAAGGTGAATTAAAAAAATGTTGAACCAAATTGTCCATCAAACTCACACACATACTTCCATATCATCCAAATTTATGATTGTATCAGTGCTAGCCAACTTCAGAAGTGTCTTTTTTATTCGAAGAGATGGGAGGCGCACATTGGGGTTGTGGTGCCAGCACTCTTTCATAAGTTTTGCCATCCCAGATAATAACTGAAAAAAAAAAGTGGTACAAGATGGCAGAAAAATTCAAATTATCAAAACACAGATTTTTACACAATTTTCTTGTGCGGGTATATTTTTTTTCTTATAAAAATAGATCTACTATACGTCTGAGTACTCTCACAACTCATAATAATACAATACAATCTGTAAAAACTAAAATAAACCGCCCACTGCGCCGCCGCTATTGGCGCTCTTCTCTGTTTAAGCAAATAAGCGCAATTGCGCTGATCAATTAAAATTCATATGGAGCGAAAAAGCATTGATTTCGACTTGCAAGCCATCGGCACTCGAGCCGTGGCGACGCAGAGCGGAGCCGATTTCCGCCGGCAGGGGAGACGAGCGATTATGAACAATAATAAGATGGAATACGGAATACGGTCAGGATCTCAGTGTTGCCAGGTGTGGCGATTCATCGTATTTACGGCTACTTTTTTTGGTGAAATGCGACATTAAATTGAATTTGGCAACTGGCGACAATTATGGCGACATTCTGAAATGAACAGGAGATTTATTGGCGATATGTCATAATGCGACAATCATTGGTAACATTTCACTGGAATATCACAATTATTTTGGAATTTAATCCCAAAAAAACAGGAATAAGAATCAAACATTGACACTTAGAATCTCGCGAACAAATAACTTGCCGACATAATTATGTCTGAACGAATTCTATTTTTATTTTGACGTCAGCAAGAAACGCCCCGTAATCAATAGATCTCCAAACGCTGTACTGGCGTAAAACGGCTCGCCTTTTTAGCTGTGTGTACATGGTATTTCTAAGTAGCTTAGATCATAAAAATGGTGAAGGAGTCGAAACTATATCTACACGATTTTTTCCAAACTTAAATTTGTTCGCAAAAAAAAATGTTTTCGATGAACTCTCATACACTATACAGAGGAATGCAAATTTGCTCATTATTATAATATTATGATGTCTATGTTCTCAATGAGTCACTGGTCCATCTATTGGGTAAATTATGGCATTCATTTCTCATACTCAGATTAGTTTAGATTAGGAATCAGAAGATAATGATAAATGTTGCACAGTTCCAATTTGATAAATTCGTTTTTTTTTTTATTTTGTGCAACTCTTTTATTGGGCAGCTTTGCTTGCCTGTTGAGTTGCCTTTTCATGTAAAATAAAATTAAATAAAAATGGAAAATTGCTATTGATCGACACAAAACGAGTTTTTTTAAATCCTATGACCAAATTTACTCTTCTCCAGTTTTTGATATATTATATTTGTTCCTTCCGATTTTTTTCAATTCTCAGAATTCATTTCTGAGACTTATTTGGGACAGAAGGGCTGTTCACATCAAACTTTTATACCGTTTTTTTTTGTCTCATGGTTCGCGGGAATCAATGTTACCAGGAGGCGCTCAGTTTTCATCGTTCCATGTCCAGTCACGTCAAAACTGGGGAAAAACAAACGCAATCCTCACTCAATCCCATTAGTGCCATTAGCTTGTCTACTGTGTACTGATGAGAGTGATAAGTTTTTGAATTTCTTGACATTAATTGTCAATATTCGATCGAAAACGCCTGTTGTAGATGTTCTTTTGGCAGATATTTTGCTCTATTGAGATGGAAAAAGCCGACCAGTAGTAGGAGGAGAAGCAGTTCTCCATGCTAATCATTCTATTTTGTGTGAGGCAGAAGACTTCAACAAAAGGCACATTTTTGCACTTTGTCTACAAACTACAATGGATTTGTATTCGTTCCAGCAAAGCAAGACAATCTGGGTATTGTGAACATGTTGTAGCTGTTCTTTTATATGTCAATTGATTTGCTCGTCATAATTAGTTTGAATTGTTTGAACTATCTCCAATTCTTCACCTGTTCACTAAACTAATAAAAATGTAATAATGTGAAAAAATGAACCAACTCAACCATCATCACTACCAACAGTGCCAACACTTTATGTCATTGACAAGTTTGACTGCAGCTACAGCAAGCTGAATGCAATGTAGTATATGCACTTTATCCATAGACAACAGTTTGTTTTCCCCCAGTTTAAAGTTCCTATTATGTAACCTTGATGTCGCCCACTTCGTGAATCTCGCGAATATAGGATAAGAGGGACTTTCTGCTGGTCTGAATCAAATAAAAGGAAGATCCAACATAAATACACTATACAGAGGAATGAATATTTGAATGTTGAAAATTTAATCATTATTATAATATTATGATGTCTATGTTCTCACCGAGTCACTGGTCCACCTATTGGGTAAATTAGGCCTCTGTTGATCGACACAAACGACTTTTCTCATATCCTCGAAGCTCGGATCGCTAGGCACCACATCATAAAAAGGTGGCTTGTAATCTTCGGCTATGCCATTGCTAACAGTTCTGCGGCATAGCTCCCAGAAGACCAATCCGAGAGCGTAGATATCCGCCCTCCGGAAGGAATCGAAGTTTTCCATACAAATACTAAAAAGGTTTATTTAGATTTTGTACAGTCATGAATTTTCGAATATGGGCATCGGCAAACAAAGGACCCCGCACCGCAATAGAGGGGAAATTGGCTTTCAGTGGATTTTCTCGAATTTTGGATATATCGTAGAACTCGTGATGCTGATCAGATGTCCCAATTATCAACGCTTTAAATTCAATAGTTTGGATTATACAGGGTGCTGAAGTTGACTTTTTCAAAATTTCGAATGGCTATTGTGAAGTTTCCTTTTTGAATACCAAAATCAAATCGACTACGTTTTTTTTTTTCATCCATGTGGCCGGTGAAAATCCACTATAGATTTCAATAATATCTGCACGTACTCACGAAATACAGAGTTGGTCCAAAAATAGCAAATGTTTCGATTATTTCAGAAAAAGTGAGCGGTTGAAATCAATTGATTTTCGGACATTTCTTAGTATACTAATATCAACATCGATTCATCATAATTGCATTTCTTGAATCAGACTACATATTATACACAAGATGTTCAAGTTTCCATGAAACCGCACCCGTCCGGAATTCCGTAAAACTTGGTGAGGAAGTCGATAATTCGTGATGACCATATTTCATGCAAATACCTGAATTATACAGAGTGGTTGTGAAAGTAGTGGCGGTTTCTTGGAGTTGACGTACTCAGGATTTCTGGCTTGTTTCTCAATTGCTCTGGAAATCAACTTCCCAAGAAACGATATTCGTGATGCACAACGAGCCCTACTGCTTGTGATGGAATTGAGCCAATTGGAAAGAGACGTATCATTATTTATGCGGCACCCCCCTAATTCTGTGAGGACCTTCTATATATGAGGGAGATTTCAAACTTATTTGACAAACCAAAACTCTCCTTCGAAGATTTTTTTGTTTATGCGAAAAATTATTCCTTTCCAGCAGCCGAGTAGAAATATCAGTATAATATCATCAAATCGTAGTTCCATTGATCATGACAGAGTTGATCATGGTTAATTTTCAATCTGAAGATTGAGATCAAGCACCTCAAAAATTTTTTAAATGGTACAGTTATTGTTTATATCTACGATATTATTATCAATATATATTTTGGAAGTGATATTAATTCGACAACGGACACATTCGATAATTATTATTCGATTACCTACCACCACTACTACTACTATTACAACTTCCACAACCACCATGTATAATTCAGGTATTTGCATAAATTATTGTAATCACGAATTTTCAACTTCCTCACCAAGTTTTACGGGATTCCAATCATTCGATGGATATGATACAAGGGCAGAGATTGTGCTTTGAACTCAGATAATTGTTGCTGGCATGCACAATCTTCTTCGAACATTATAGGGATTCCCTTTCGTGCCCACCAAGCGATAACAAAATATGTACTTCTTCGATTGAAACGCCCTGTAATTATTTTTCCACAGCATTATTTCATTAAGGCATACATTTGGTCCTATTGTCATATTTTGGTCCACACAATCCGCCCTTAGCCCATGTCCCAATAGTTATGACTCATCTTGTATATATACAGTGTATATTTAAATACTATAACTCTTTATCTCTATTTTATATTTGTTTATTTTCCGAGATTTATATGTCTATAATACTCAAATTCGTGAATTATAAGATTAGAATATTCAGACATAATATTCTATATTCTTAGTTCTCAGTCTTTCCTCAGAGAATTATGCATACTAATTCTTTGAAACAATGAATGATCTACAAAGTAACTTCCCTACCTAGTGTAGAAATAATACCTATGGGGCAAGATCCCCAGCAATACACTTGTTAAAATCATTCTTAACTGGTAGAAGGCAATATATTGTTCACAATAATATTACATCTGATATACAGTTAATCAAACATGGTGTTCCCCAAGGTTCGATGTTGGGTCCGCTGCTGTTCATTTTATACATAAATGATCTACCATTATATGTGCATATAGTGGAAACTTTTCTCTACGCAGATGACGCAACATTTATAATTGAAGCAAGTAATAGTGGTAGGTTTGAAGGGCTATCAAATGAAACACAAGAAAAATATGAACAATACTTCAATGCTAATGTATTATGTCTGAATAAAGACAAGACTAAAATTATAGATTTTACAAATGAACAAATAATGAAAACGAGAATAGTGTGCGTTTACTGGGTTTACATATAGACAGCAATCTCAGCTGGAAAACACAAATTACACAAATAAATAAGAAACTGTCCAAAGGTCGTTTTGCTCTGAGTAGATTGAGAAGCATGGTAAGCTAAGATGTTCTTCAAATTGCATATTTTGGTCTGATACAAAGTCATTTACAATATGGGATATTATTATGGGGCTCGGCATCAGCAGCACATGATGTTTTTATATCCCAGAAGAAAATAATCAGAGAGATGGTTAGAGCTAACTTTAGAGATCATGCCAAACCCATTTTCATCGATTAAGAGATTCTCATGGTACCATGTTTATATATACTGGAAGCTATCTTATATATACACAAAAATAAAGAGAAATATAGTACAGGGACACAGAAACATGATTATAATACTAAGAGCAAAGAGGTCATCAAAACAGCTAAAATGAAATTAGTAAATACGTAAAAGCAAACTGAAGTATTTTACTGCAAAATTTACAATATGCTTCCTAAAGAATGGAAAATGTATCCAATCAAAAAATTGAAATTTGTGATGAAGCAGTCTCTTTCAAACCAAGCATTTTAGTCAATAAACAAGGTTTTTGATGCAGGCTGACCAGTTTTATAAATGGCACTAATTTACATTGTTTAAAAATTTTATTCTATGTGGTTTCATGAAAATTTGCTGATTGATTGTAATTCTAATTTTAAATTTTAGTTTTTATATTGTATAGTGCATGAGTGCATACCTTTCCTATTGCATTACTTTATGCTATTTTGACTTGTCTAAACAGATTATGTGTGTGGTTTTTTTTTTCAGTGTACATGATATTGTAACATAATGACCAATAAATTCTTATCTTATCTTATACTGTTGGTCTGTTGCTTTATATACTTCCTGGAAAATAACAAACACTTGTCCAACAATCCCTTGAAAGGCTCAACTCCAATTAACAGAGATTTGTGGTATATACAAATTTCATTTGTTTTCACATAATTTACCCTTTCTAGGATAGGGAGTAAGAATTATTATTCAATGTTCATCTCTTTCATTAGTCTATTTCGTTTTGTGAAGATATTTGAGATATTTTTAAAATTTCATAAATATATGAATTTACTAATCCTTGGAAATATTCAATTTTCATTGCAAATTCAAATTTGATTGGTGACGCCTCTGCATGCTAGCACAAATTGATAATTGTCTAGGACAACTTGAAAACCCATTAAAATCATTACTTGAAAGTTGCATACATTAAAAAAACATTACAAACAATATGTCACTACTGAACAGTCTAATAGTAAAGCAGTTCAGATCAATTCCTATTCATTCCATTCATAGTTATCAAAAAAGAAATGTCATTATTATTTTTCATGTTCCAATAATTATAACACCTCTCAGGGTACCCTTAAATACCTTCACAGTGCAGGTCATAAAATTCTAATGAGGGAAACATAGTTCCTTTCTAGGCAATGAAATGTACATGTGCTCAGAAATATTTGAATTCAACCAAGAATGGTCATGATTTATTTTTACATTTCTTTTATTATTGTGAGAAAACTGTGAACACAAATTTTATAAATATTCATTCCTTCTAGTTATATGAGTAATTTACTTAATAAATGAAAACAAACACATCATATCTTGAGTTGTATCACTATTAATAATTAAAATGATTGTCTTGATGTTACATAAAAATATTTCAGTAGGCAATCATAACTTCAATATTGGATAATATTCCATTATATCAAAAATGGTATACAAACTATATGTACTTACGATTCATCAAGAACCTCAGGGCTCATGTAACGTTTAGTTCCCACTCTGGGGTTGGATCCTATATCCAACTGATCAGTGGTTTGAGAATGGGTAACAGCCAGACCAAAATCAGCTATACAAGCTGTTCCATTAATCTTCACTAATATGTTCTTACTCTTAATATCCCTATGTGCTATTGCTGGTTTTCCCTTGAAATTGAAAAAAAAAGTTGTTTGAGAGGATAATTTTCAAGCTTATAAACATTATTCATAAAATAAATGGTTGGATGAATGTATATTACCTGTGTGCCAAATATTTCTGTGTGCAAATGTACCAATCCATTTGCAATAGATAAACACAGTCTCATTAGCTGTTGATGAGATAAAGAAGTATAGTTCAGGTAATCATAAAGACTACCTAGGGAATGATAATGTGTAATGAGCCACAGCTGAGTGCATGAATTCCTGGAGGTCATATCAGAACCAATGTATCCAAGTATGTTTTCATGTCTCAGCAAAATTGTACTGGAAGAATAAATGTGACAAATACACACAAATATTAAAGAACCACTTTGGCACCAACCTGTAAATTTCTGTTTCTCTAGACCAACTAGCCTCATCTCTGGAGAAAAATATCTTGACAGCAATGCTTTCTCCATGCCAAATACCTCTCCATACCTCCCCATATCTTCCTTTCCCTATACACTCCACCAATGATATTTGTTTGGCCATAGTCCTCTGTATAAGAAGTGGCAGGCCAGATCCACTACCTGATGTCATAGAGTGTTCTAAATACTCTCTGAGGGTGCTGTCTCCAGCAGCGGTTGCTCGAAGTAGGTCATCAGAAGCATAGTATGTATCAGGGTCCATCCTGCTGTCATTACATAACCTATAAAAAAGTACAGGTAAGTTGAGAGGTAGGTTGTACAAATTCATGCAAGCAATAACCCACATGTGTTTAAAATTTGTTGTTATCTATTTATACATTCTATGTAGCAATTCAAGTTTCTGGCTGTTCTGTAGTGTACTTTGAATAAATAAGTCAACTGTAAAAGAGTCATGGAAACCATCCATTCTCTAAGTGGTCCAGTATTATTCAAATAAGTAAATGTATAAGTAATTAGATATGATTTGATATCAATGATGAGTAGATGTATTGTTCTACCTATTCCAAATATTTCAGCAGTACCATCAATATTGCTTCTTTTGATATTGGCAATTGATGTTTATGCCAAATGTGATGCCCAAGTATCCATAAAAACTTTGTACCTCTAGATTATAAATTAAAATCAATTACCAAATAATGCTCACATGGGGGCAGATACTTAATATAACAAAATACCCCCTTTGTAAAATCAAAAACATACTGGGAATTGTTATTTTGAAATGAAATAAAATGAAACATACCTGTTCCTATAGTATCTCCTCAAGAAGTACAAAGCAATCACTCCAATAGTTCCAAATACCACAAGTGGACCTAACACAGCAGCAAATATCTTCAAACCATAAATGAGGGAATCTGAGTAGACACTTATATTTTCTGTATACAAGGGTGGTAATTCAGGAAAATCCCCATCATTGCAAAAATCACCAACACAACAATCTATTTGGAATTGACCACTAGCTTGACGCTTGTGCTGAACAGTGACTGAAGGTGTTCTGCAATACAGGGGCAATTGTTCATGATCTGTTGTACAGCCCCTTGTGAAACTTTCTATTCCAGAGCTTTCTCGAACTCGAGATTTCCAGCACTGGACTGCATTCTGGCATACTGTGAGGGTAGAGCAATCAGGTGGATCACAAGAGTGACACTTATAGTGCTTCAATGGCAGTGTATGAAGAGAGTTTGGATTCGGTCTGGAATCAGGAGGGGGCTCTCCTGGATCAGGTGTATCATAATAATCATCGTCATCTCTCAATAGTGGTTTTCTGAATACCTCCCCTGAAACAGATGATAAATAGTAGATAGGTATATGGAATCTGGGTCGTCATCAAAAAGTATGGAGAAATAGTATCAGATTTTTTTTGAGAAATAATATGATATGAACATTCTCCAAACAAAATGTTGAAATCATATTTTACCTGTAATAACGTTAATTGATAGAATAATAAACAAACATCTAACAATTTTCCAAGCAGCCATTATTATTGTGTGTTGATGAGTTAACTTCAATTGTCAATGTCAACTTCATTTCATCCAAGCTCCCGAGAGTCACAGTTCTGCGAATATCCAATATTATCAGCAGTTAGAGACAGGACTCAACAAATAAAACTCCAGCTACCAAAATACTTTTTCTGTTCGTGTCATTCAGGCCTCTTCCTACGAAGATGAGTCAGCTCCAGTCTTTCCATAACTTGAGGATTTCTATTTGTTCAAATATCCTAATGATTATAGAAAATCTCGACGAAAAAGGCATAGCTTTTAGGGCTATCCGGCCATATCGGGCAAAGGGTCCCTTAATGGAAATTGACGTTAAAGTCATCTTAACAGGGTACGGACACCGATATCGGTGGTAACGGTACGGACAGATCATAGCTGCATTTTTTTTTAATGATCTAGAGACTTTGGTTTTGTCTACTGGCATCCCAGACATTGCTGTCACGGCACATCCATGGGCGCTACAGAAAATCATTCATAATTTCATTAATAGGTATGTACAGGGTATTAACTTGTTGAGGAAGATCATATGGCAAAGGAGTTTTGTAATTGTGATCCGATTCTATTCAAAATTGAAAGGTATCTGGGGTTTTCCGGGGTTGGAAATAATGATTGTTTCGTCAAACTTGGAAAATTCAAGATGACGGATCCAATATATAGCGGAAGAAATTTTCTAATTATCATCTGATTCTATTCAAGATTGGTATCTGAGGGTTTTCGGGGTCGAACTTCATAATTGTTTGTCAAAATTGAGAAATTCAAGCGCGGATCTAATATGGCTAACGAGTTTTGTAATGAAGATCCGATTCTATCGAAATTGGTATCTGGGGGTTCTTGGGGTAGGAGATAATGATTGTTTCGTCAAAATTTGAAAATTCAACATGACGGATCCAATATGGCGAAAGATATTAGTTCATATAACTATTACTCTACCATAAATAAAAAATATGTAGGATGCAAGAGTGCCTATAAGTTATACTGCGTCAGAGATAAGTTACCCACAGAACCTCTGACTGCGTATATCTACTTCTTTGATACTTTCATCAATAAATTATTCGAAAATTAATTTTTATTTGAGGGAGACGGAAAAATCATATGTATAACATGGAGGTAAAGTATATATTCTATTCTTTATTTTCCTGCACATTTTACGTATTACTTTTCATCAGCCTACTTTTCGTCCCAGACGAAGTTTTATACATAGTGTGATATTAGTCACCTCATAAATTCTTCTCCGAATTGGATTTCCGAAAATATATTTAGCACACATGACATGAGTACAGTAGTTCAAATGTCCCCACATCGAGGTTTCCACCATTTCTCAATCATAACGCTCAGCTCATTCAGCTCATGGATAAGCTTCTGCTCAGCTTGAAATCAGAAATTATTTAGTCAATTCAGTCAACCCTGGTATACAGTCTGAGAACAGTCTCTTTTGGTGAAATTTATTGAGTTTTCAGTACAATTTATATGTTCCCGACCTCGCAAAGATTATGCTAGAGTAGTAAACTCTAAAACTAGAGGATTGTTCATCTATATCTTGGTTTCGTTGAATCAGGAATTCCATATGTAAATTACGTATGATACGCCAGTGACGCCAATATAACCAAAAAAAACAACAAATGTCAAAAATCTAGTGTTTAGAGTGTTTATCCCAATGATCTAATAATATATACTCTATATATTATTAGATCATTGGTTTATCCCCAGAATTGAATAAGGATGGAACTATATAACTATTTCACAAACACTTTAGAGTGAGAGGAGACGAGGATCTGTCCGTACCCTGTTAAGATGACGTCAATTTCCCTCAAGGGACCCTAAGAGACTCTAGCAGTTTGGATTGTTTGGAATTCTCCTTGCTAATGTTGAATAACGAGATTGACAGGCAAAGATGGTTATTTTCCAAGTATACTTAAATCATAGGCCTCTCAATGGCTGTGACTTGATGAAAGTGGGCACATCGCAGATCACATCGAAATTAGATGATAGTCATAATACCAGAATACTCGGCCCGTTTTTATTTATCTTTGATGAGGGCCAGGCAGACTTGGGTCGAATACTGAAATCCGGTATTCGAATACGAATCCTGAATACTGTACTCTAAATTGTATTCGAATACTCAAGATTCGAATACAAAGAAAAAAAAGTATTCGAATACCGATGTATTCGAATACCTGGATTCATTCACATATGAATATTTTATGAATATTCCAACTGAAAAAAAAAAACATTTGCGCACATAAAGCTCGTTTACATTAATGTATGTAGTTAATTTATAAAAATATATAAAAAAAGTAGAAAATATATTAAATGAAACTTTCTGAATATTTTTTTGATCCAAAGTGCCACAGTTAAGGTAACACAAAATAATTGTTTAGCAAGATAATAATGGAAAATAATCTCAAATAATGAATAAAACTTGAAATAAAATTCATTCCATTACAAATAAAACATAGGAACTAATAAAATATATATGATCGACCAATAATATATAGCGACGGCTCCGTTTAAGCGTAGCGCAATATTCATAGAAATAATCAAAAGTATCCGAAAACAGGATTCGAATACCGGGATTCGAATACAAAGTGAGTATTTGAATACTGGGATTCAAAAACGGTATTCAGAATCCAGAATACCGAATACTGACCAAAAAAGTATTCGAATACACAAATGTATTCGAATAGTATTCGAATACCAGCCAAATGTATTCTGAATAGGATTCAGAATACTGGGTATTCGAATACTACACAAGTCTGGGGCCAGGGCCGTTACCCCCGATGAGGGCCCAGGTACATCATCATGGACAGCAAATACCACAAAGTTATTGTTTTGTTATGCTTCTACCGAGAATATTCACCCTGAGTGTGGAAAATAATAGTAATTAGAAACAAGAAGAAGGCTATATGTAGGCAGTTATTATTCTCAAAAATCTTTCTGTATGCTATTTTCAGGTTTTGTCTTCACAGCGCCATAATTGTAAACAAATGATGTCTACACGATCTCCACTTTCCTGTTCCTCTAAATCCTAACATTCATCTACACTATCAAATCAGCTGGTTTTCAGTAGGGGTGTAAATTACAATACACTGAAAGCAAAGGAACAAAGCTAGGTGATCACGTGACACCAAATCTGCATCTGCTCGCTCGGCTCCGATTTTGTTGAACCGAACGCACCTCATATATATAACAATCATAATATAACTTGTAAATTGTAAAGCCAGTAAAGACTGTAAAGTAAAGTGTAAAGAGTAAAAGTAAAGCTGTAAACCACATCGTGTTACGAACGTGAGTTTTTGTGGTTATATTTTCCAGAGTGTTGACTTGGAAACAAACGTTATAAAGCTTTTGTAAAGCAATTAAAACATACATAATTGATATATTGATATCATAGATTAATTTTTCTCTCATAATGAAGCAAGGCATCAAGAAATCAGTCAATTCTATCATAAGAACAATTGGAGATGATGAAGAAGTTGAGGATTTTTCAGAGGAAAGTGATGTTGAGGTTGAGGTGAGATTGATGAGAAAACATCACCGTGATTACAAATTTCAATCTCCAATCTTGTTTTGGGCATCATTTTTGTTCCAATTGCTGTATAAACTCTCTTATTTGTTACAGTTCCAACCATCTAAACAAAAAAGTAAATCCAAAGCAGATTTTGATACAGATTTTGACTTTGTTAGCACTGTTGAGGAATACAACAGGGATGCTTGGGATGATCTATCAAAATATGTCAAGCGTAAAGCTAAACATAAGACTGATGATAAAATCAAAAGATTACGCCAATCTGGAAATGAGGAAAATATAGGAAAAGATGATGATGATGAGAAAGACAGGGAATCTGAAATGTCTTTGTCTGAGGATGAAATGAAACATGATAAAATCAAAGTCAGAGATAAGAAAAAAAAGAAATTGAGTGCTGCAGAGAATGCAGAATCTTTCTTTGAAGATGTCAACTTGTCCACTGATGAAAGTATGAGCTTTTACCAAATGAACTTGTCTAGACCTTTATTGAAGGCTATTGCTGAAATGAAATTTGTTCACCCAACTCCAATACAATCATCAACAATACCTATTGCTTTATTAGGTTAGTATCTACCTGAATCATTATTTATTAAGAAATGATCACAAACTATTTTAGGCAAAGACATTTGTGGCTGTGCTGCTACTGGTACTGGAAAAACAGCAGCATATATGCTGCCCACTCTAGAACGTCTCCTTTATAGGCCAACAGGTGGTACCTCTGTTACCAGAGTTCTGGTTTTAGTACCAACAAGAGAATTGGGTGTCCAAGTCTACCAAGTCACAAAACAGATAGGGCAATTCACAGATATACAAGTAGGGTTAGCTGTGGGTGGATTGGATCTGAAAGCACAGGAGACTATATTAAGAAAAAATCCAGACATTGTTATAGCTACACCTGGTAGATTGATAGACCACTTGAAGAGTACTCCAACATTCAGTTTAGAATCCATTGAAGTTTTGATATTGGATGAAGCTGATAGGATGCTTGATGAGTATTTTGCAGAACAGATGAATGAAATCATCAAACAGTGTTCAAGGAAACGCCAAACCATGCTTTTTTCAGCTACAATGACTGATGAAGTGGAAAGCTTAGCAGCTGTGTCTTTGACCAAGCCTGTTAGGCTATTTGTTGACAGTAATCAGGATGTAGCATTTAATTTGAGACAAGAATTTATCAGGATAAGGTCTGAAAAAGAATCTGATAGGGAACCTATACTGGCAGCACTTGTGTGTAGAACATTTAGAGAACACTGCATGATTTTTGTACAGACCAAGAAACAAGCCCACCGTCTGCACATTCTTCTAGGTTTACTGGGTCTCAAAGTAGGAGAATTGCATGGCAATTTGACACAACCACAGCGCTTAGACAGTCTAGAGAAATTCAAAACCAAACAAGTTGATATCCTTGTAGCAACAGATGTAGCTGCCAGAGGATTGGATATTTCTGGTGTCCAGACTGTTATAAATTTTGTAATGCCAGCTACTATGGAACATTACATTCATAGGGTGGGTAGAACTGCTAGGGCTGGTCGAGCTGGTGTTTCAGTCAGTCTTGCAGGGGAAAAAGAAAGAAAAATGGTTAAAGATGTTATAAAGAGAGCCAAAAACCCTGTAAAAAGCAGAGTAATACCCCCAGATATCTTGGAAAAGTACAGAGAAAAATTAGAGAATCTAGAACAGCAAATTTCACAAATCATTCAGGAAGAATATGAAGAAAGACTTATAAGCAAAGCTGAAAACCAAGCAAATAGAGCTGAAAAAATGCTCAAAGGAGAAGGGAGTGATAAGAGACCATGGTTTCAAACAAGCCAGCAGAGAAAAGCTGAGAAAGAAAGGCTGACTTTGAAAGGTAAGAAAGATGCAAGTAAAGGCAACTCTGCAAAATCAGGAAAAGACAAAAAGAAAGACAAGAACATAAAGAAGGGTAAATCAAAAGAAACACCTGAAGATAGGATGAGTCAAGAATTGAATAAAGTAGCTTTGGTACAAGCTAAACTTGCTAAGAGAAAGCAAAAAATGAAAAAAATCAACTCTGTCAGAGATGATAGTTTCAAGACTAATCCAGGAGGAGTAAAAAAACAAAGATCACACTTTGCTGATTTAGTTGACACATCTCAAAAGAAAGCTAAGAAATTAAGGTATGATGCAAATTTCAAACAGAAAATGAAGAAGAAAAATGATTCCAAATTTGGCAAAAAAGATGCCAGGAAGGGGAAAGCCTTTGGCAAACCAATGCAGAAGAAGAGGAAGTAATTCAGTTGCAGTATATGCTATATTTATCTGATAGGTGGAACCATTTTTGTAATATAGTTGAATTCAGTTGAACCATAAATACAATGTTACAATATTTGAATACTCTGGTCTCTTTAAATAAGTACCTAGATTATCTTTTTTGAGGTCAAGTTTCAGTTTAATCTATGATAAAAGCATGATGAATGATATGATGAATAATTTTCATGTGTTTGTATGTATATCTAACCCTGCACAAGTTTTGACTTATGGGGCGTTTGGTCCAGTGCTGGGTCCAACCAGGTATGCAATTGCAAAAAAAATAGGGTACAAAGTATGTAATTGAAATCTCAAATGTTCACAGATTAAATTGAAATTTTCTTATATTGATTGCATTCTTGGTCAAATATCTGGTGAACTGTTCATTCTAGCTCAGATGAAGATTATTCGTTTTTTCGAAAAATTTGGAATAATCAATAAAATGTTATAGTGACTAGAAAATATATAGGTAGAACATAATACCATGAACCCTTTTGCTATGTCACTGGATGGAATGATCGAGTTTTTGCAGAAAAAAACATATCAGAAATCTAGCAGTATTCCTCAACTTAACACCCTGTTTCTATGAAAGTTACTGTTAGAGGAGCTAGAGGAGCTTAAGTACCTACTTTTCTACCTCTCAAATTTACAAGAGCAGGCTTATCACCTGCACGTGACCTGTGAATCTTTGTGTGATGAGTCCTGGTAGAATTTTGCAGGGATTAAACAGGAATACATATGAATTCCTTATTTGAAACTTTTCCATGAGTAAAATCAGTGAAATCGTTTGCAATATTAAGTAGGTAAAGGAACCACTATATAGTGTGTAATTTAAGTTGCCTATCTTTCAAGTAACAGTCTTTCACCAAAGGTGGTGAGAGGGAACCTGCAATTTATCACAACTGCTTTCTGCTGCCTACTGTGCTGCTGCTATCTTTTTTTAAAAATGATCCATGGATTATTTACATTCATTTTGCGACTGCTTGAGAAGAGAAGCACTGGACTACTGGAAAAATGAGTAGAAAAACGTGAGACAATTACATGTTACAGTAAAACAATAAAACAATATGAATCTCATGCGGTAGAATCCGCCAAATCCGGTAATTACTGGGTGCGTGGCAACACTGGTGCCAAGGTATAGATGCCACTGACTTGCTTTTGGTAGTGTATAGAGTTCCATCAGGTCGGAACTGAAGTGTAAAATAAATGGAAATCGTTGATAGTTGACAATTCATTTCGTTCTGTTTTAATTCACCTGAGTGAACATTCGGATATATATCATATACGAAGGCCTCGAAGGGACAATCATTCATTCCTATTATATTGACTAAAAACCCGAAAGTATGTCGGGTTTCATATTTTGACATATATTATATACAGGGCGTTTCAGAGTTGTGATGACAGAAGCCTATAGGGAAGATTTCTCTCAGCAAAATATCGATAAAAGTTCATATGAAAATGCTTCGATCGTTTCCAAGTTTTTTTAAAATCTTTTAATATTATCTTGAAAACGCTTAGACCGATTTGACTGACATTAATTTACTGGACCGATTATATTTGATTCAGAATTTCCAGGAGCGTATACCCATCGAGCAAGTCGTCTTTTTCTGTAGAAAAAAAGTCACCCTCTGTTTTTTTTTTTCGGGTACTCCTGAAATATTCCCCACTAAATCCACTAAAAATACTACCATTTTTTCGTATATATATATAATATCGGCATATCTCAGAACTCCACTATAGGAAAAACATAAATGCTTATAGATATTATCAAAAAATTCATTGCACATCATCATTTATGAAAAAAAAAAGAAAGAATAAACTTCAATTACTAAAATATATACGATCTTCAAATTTTGTGAAAAATATTTCTTGAAGATATCAATGAAAAAATCATTTTTTCAAACTAGGACAACCTATATATATCTCGGAAACGAAGCATTTTTGGACCCATGTTCATATATCGCCCCTTTCTCTCATTTTGTTTGGAGGAATATCTTCTCTAGGCTTTTGTCACCACAACTCTGAAACACCCTGTATAGCTATACTCAATATCGATATACAGGGTTATTTTCTGTGATATACACCAGCCATGTGAGTATAGTTCCATGGCTGCTGCTGGCGAGCAGTGTACCTATATCACTGATGATAATTGACTGTATGTTTTGACTCTTCCTTATTGCTCCTGTGAATTTCAAAATCCTACCACAATAATTACCTAAGGCTGCAAGAGGGTGCTTACATGAAAAATTTAGGCAAAATTGAATTTTTAAGAAATGAGAATTTTCCCGGAAAAATATAATAATGATAATTGCCTTTATATTGTTTTTGTAATGTACATATTACAATACAAGTAAAATGTGTAGAGGCGAAGTCTAGCTCACGCTATTCTAACTTAACCGTTATCTCACAATAAAAAGGGACAATGGATTTCTTAAACATATAGTGACTGAATCACATATTATATCAATACTTGATCACATCAAAATATTTTGAATTCATATGCACAGTTAGGGAAATGGGTGTCCTGATTCCAAACTTGAAGTAATTTTCAACCTACCTTGCATCCTACATATCATTTTCCGTTTACGGAATGAATGTGGGTGCATATATGCATGGTTCCATATGGCTGTTGGCGAGCAGTGTATCTCACTGATAAGATGACCCCACTTGGTCATACCGGGTGACACAGAGGGTATCAAGCCACCTCTGTAACTTCTGCATTCGTTAACAGATAATTCTGAAAGTTGGCACAGTTATCTAAGCAACCATTTCGGATTTAATGACATTACGATATCCAATATGGTGTACTTCCGGTTTTTCTGGAAATGCCAGCAACTTCAATTTTTCAAATGGAACACCCTCGACATTTTTACATATCGGGTTATCCCTGTATTTAATATGGCCGATAAGGTTTGTCGGTTTTATATCTGGGACCCCTGGGACAACTATCGAGGACAACCTTGCAGCAACGCTGAGGGATATCAATTGGATGTCCATAGGATGTCCCAGGGACGTACGAATTATTCTTGAATTTGTATTTTTCTGAGTCCCTCGCTAGGACCATGCAGATCTTGCATAACTGATGAGGACATTCAGTTGAGTTGATGGTCTGTTGTGGTTCCCAATAGATCCTGGAAAAGTTTCCCAAGGATGTCCAATGGACTTACGTGAAGGACATTGACGGGAGTATTTATTGCCTGCGAGCAATCATTCGTCGGCTAGGTGTAAGTTAACGTCCTCGCAGGGACAAAATATTGAAAGTACCGACTGGGACGTCCATAGGACGTTATTTCTAGGACATTGTATGAGTGCAGTTTATGTACCAATTGGGACATCCGACGGATATCCCTAAGGAACATTTCGACTTTTATACGATCCTGGAAATATATTAAGGGCGTCTGTGCAGAGATATTTGAAGGAATGTACTATCAGGGACATTTCATGGTTGTCTAGAAGGGACATTATATGAGATCTGAAGTGAAGCCAGTACTACTCGGGAAATCCGATGGATGTCCCTAAAGGGGGGGTTTAAAATCATATCCCATCAGAGGGACATACCAATAAGGAGGTCCTTGCATGGACATTCTACAATATTTACCACGTAGGACGTCTAAGGGATGCTATTTCTAGGACATTTGAAATGATGTACCAGCTGGGACATTCCGTGGACGTCCTTATACTCGGACATTGCATGAGATGGTACGGGATGGGACGTCCCAAGGACACTTATTTTTGGTCCGGGACTTGAATTGTGCCAATTAGGGACGTCCCTTGGACGTTATGTGCTATCAGGGCTGTGCATTCATTCATAAAAAACGATCATTACATTGAATAATTTATAATAATGTGAAGGAATCTAATTTTCAATTTTAAGGCATTTGACAATGAATTAAAAAAATTCGTCCGCGGCGCATTTATAACCATACCAATTGAAAAATTAATGCTGTCCCAAGTTTCTTATTGACATACTCTTGGTATATATACCTACTTATCGGCTGAAATTGAGTTGTTATCACACTGGAGGAAATATAATTTCAAATCTGAAGCTTGAATTAAGAAAATTCGCCTGCGGCACATTTCCACTGCGCGACCATTTTGTCAGAGTTTATTCTTGGCCCCCTCGGTATATATTTAAATGACGCCTCTGTGCTTGATGTATCCATATATGGAGTTTGGCGTTAGTTTATATGAACGATGTTCTTCGAACTTTATATAGGGATTTCCTTTCGTCCGCTCCAAGCGATAAAAAAATACCTCTGGTAATGATATAAATGGATAATGAAGGGTGTTCCCTAAATTAAAGATATAAATGAAATCGGTAGAAGAGGAAATGAAAATATTAATTTTTGTCCAATTACCGAAACTATAATAATATACAGGGTATGTCACGACGAGCTTACACTATCTTTATATCGAGAATCAGTCGGGACGAATCCATGAAAATCTGCATGCTTATATTTTAGAATATCGTCAATGCAGTGTTGCCGCTTATACTAGAAAGTAGTAGCAACATTGATATTTCAAATGGAACATCCTGAATTTTATCGCATTTTTAGATTCTGTCAGAAGAACTGATTCCATCGATGTATCATACTTGGGGTCTATCTGATTACAGAGATATAGTGTGTTCAAAATCGATATTTTTCAACTTTAGAATTTTTTTTGGTCGAAACTATTCATTATCGGTCAAAACGGCTCACATGTCCCTATCTCAACTTATTCTGATTTGCAATTCAGAGATATTTAATCGAAACAGATACAGGGTGGTTCAAGACTCAGAATTCTGATCACCATGTATCTGGTCTGATTCAATATCAGTAAATAGTAAATCAAAAGTTGAGATAGGGACATGTGAGCCGTTTTGGCTGATAATGAATAGTTTCGACACAAACAAATTCTGATGTTGAAAAATCTTAATTTTCAACACCCTATATTTCTGTAATCATTTCCGATAGACCCCAAGTGTGATGTATCGATGGAATCAGCTCTTCAGGCTGAATCTAAAAATAGAGCGTATTCTAAAATATAAGCATATGCATGATAGTGTAAGCTCGACGTGACATACCCTATATATAGGTACCTACCATTGTCTGCTAAATATGGAGAAAAAATCTAGTGAGAAATTCCAGCTCACTAGATTTTTTCTCTATTTAGCAGACAATGGTACCTACTAATAATTTCTGCAATGTTGCTAAACGTTAAATAAACACTCTGTACATTTTTCAAATATTTAAAGTAAAATCTCTATGCCAATTATTGAATTGACGTTTCATGATGTCAAATAATATCTTCTATATTTATTATTTATCATTTTGAACCCATTATTTACGATCTCGTCTCAACGGATCCTTATACAGCTCCCAGACTTGCTCCAAATTCGATATTTCATTTGCCAAGTGCAAGGTCTGCAAAGTGCTCTTTTAAATATAATTTAGGCCAGGGGATTTTTCTGACGTAAGTAGTCAGCTGAACCGCATAACTGCTGGTAATTGCTATGCTATTCTAATTTTTGTGGGTACCCTTCGATCGCAAAAATGCCAAATATTATAAATGAAATTAAACTTGATTTCAAAGATGTTCTCCTGCGACCTAAGCGATCGACAATTAAAAGCAGGAATGATGTAAGTAAAAATTATGATTTTATATGTCGTATTGCACGATTTCCAAAATTAGTGGAATTCTACTGTTTGTGTAGTCTGTAGGTCACGATTACCTATTATAGCATTGCAAAAAAAAGTTCTATACAAACGAACCTACCTATATATCTCCATATACCTAGCCATATAAGCACCCAGCAAACATTAATAATACATACGCATGGGCCATCAGTTATATCACCTTTCAAGAAATATCGCCCCCACTCGCCCCAGGGTCCAGAGTTGAGGTTGGAGTTTTACAGGGTGGTCCAACAAAAACTTTACACCCCGATTTTAGGGCTCTAAAATGCAAATCCGGAAGAACGCTCAGTCCCAATCGTTTTCAAATTTGAGGGTGAACTCTGCTTTCTTCATCCCCATAACTTCAACCACTTACCCAGGGGAAAGCACAACCCCTAGAATTTGTATAGGGATGAGAGGTGTTTCGATATCTTATTTTGAAGATTTCATCCAGTACCTACCAATACTATCCGACCCTCTATATAATTTTGCGTCAAAATTTTCAGCGATAACGAAATGAGAGATAACATACGCGTATATACAGTGTGTCCCTAGACCAGTGGGACAGTTGAATATCTCCTGAACCAATAGGAATTTTCAAAATATTATAATTTCACATCATATCGCATTATGAGTGCTTACTTCAGGAATGACTATATTTTATACGAGGTGCGCAAGAAAGGCTCACAAAATCGAACATCAATTTTTTCAAATGGAACACCCTGTATTTCATTGCATTTTCATATTCTCCTTGGAGAGCTGAATTCACCGACCTAGCACACTTGGGGTCTAGCGGGAATTATTTCCGAGATATAGGGTGTGGAAAATCGAGATTTTTCAATTTTGGGAATTTTTTGTGTCGAAACTATTCATTATTGGTCAAAACGGTTTGATGTGAAATTATAATATTTTGAAAATTCCTATTGGTTCAGAAGATATTTAACTGTCCCACTGGTGTAGGGACACCCTGTATAGTTAAAAAGGCAATAATGGGATTACGAAAATATTATTAGAATTCGAAATATATTTAATTCAAAAAGTTTATTGTGAAGGAGTATCTGTTCGATTTATATTTACCTTCATTTCATCGTGAATATTCAAAATCGATTTGACACGGTTGAAACTTTGTTGAATATTCACGAGGAACTGAAGTGAATCGAACAGATAGTGCTTCCACAGACCAAAAATAACAAATGAATAAATAGTTTTCGAATCAGAATAATATAATATTTTCAAGGCAAATTTGACATTTCCTTCCACTATTCCATCTCTCATTTCAGTCATTTCGTTATCAATGAAAATTTTTCCGCGAAATTAGAGAGTCGGATAGTACTTGATGAAATATGAGGAACCGCATAACACCCCTCATTCCTATACAAAATCTGGGGATTGTGCTTCCCCCTGGTAGAGGGTTGAAGCTAGTAACGATAGAGAAGAAATAAGCAGACAAGTCGTTTCCCGAATTTTCCTTTCAAAGTCCTTAAATCGGGGTGTATATAAAGTTTTAGTTGAACCACCCCGTATTTCTCTCTTAAAACTCCGCACGCCAATATGTCGAAAACGAATAAAAATATTCAATTTCTGTAGAAAGTAGTCAATAGATGGGGTCTAGTAAATTTTTTCGACGTTCGAAAAGTTCAACGCCTAATAAGAGCTGAGCGTTGCGACCCCAGATAGCACAAGTACATCTTATGGATATACTATGGATATCCATCATGGATATTGTGGATGTCCATAAGATATCCGAAAAAGGCTCTGGTATATCCTATGGACGTCCATAGGATGTGACAGTGTGACCTTTTTGGAGGTCTTAAAGATATTCATTATGGATATACATAAGATATCAACTATGGATATGGATAAGAGATAGTATACCCTATAAATTGGAAAAATCAAAAAAATTGGGAAGCACTCACGTCTCACTGCGTTCGAATAATGTAGTTGTCAGTTCTTATATGCATCATTAATTTTGGACGGATTCGTAGGAATCACTTCCAAATTCACTTCAAATTAATTAAATATGAGAACAGATTGACATTATTTGACTATTCCATCAAGGTTGGTGGAATCGATGATCTACGCCACCTCGCGCAGTTTTTGAAAACCGAATTAATGATAATATAGCTAGCAGATAGTGCATCACAATCCATAATGTGTGCTATCTTTTGGAAGACAATGCACAAGTGTTACTTTTGTGGATCTCTTTTTATTTATTTATCATTTCATTCATTTTATATACTTGATGTGATCTTTTGTCTCTGTATCTTATGGATATCCTATGGACGTATTCAGGACGTTTGTTTCGGATATCTCAAGTACATCCGCAATCGGATATCTTATGGATATACATTTCATGCCCACGGATATCCCGCCTTGAATATGACTTGAAATCTCGCTTGAAATGGATATCCATATGATATCCTGTGTTAACTGGGACGCGTCGAAAATATAAATCGATCGTATATTGACTTTGGAATTACGCACACTCAATAGTACATGTTATTTATAACTTTTTTGAAAAACAATATTCTCAGGTATATTTAGGAACACAAAGAAATGGATAAAGAAATACACTGAGAATTCGCATTCTCCATGTGATGACAATATTAATTCTTTCTCGGTTTATTCAACAGAAAACATCTACTTTCCTGGCTATATGCCATGACGAACATTGAATTATATTATATTGAAAATATGGAGAGTTAGTAAATTGGACGTCCTGTTTTCGAATCCGAACTGATTTTCAACAACATCTCTCTTAATATTTTCCGGACATGTGTGTAGTTCCACGACGGCTGTTGGCGAGCAGTGTATATCTCTGTAGGTGACTCTACCTGGTCATAGAGTACATTTTTGGTATATCTCTCGCTCCAGCAAATTACAGGATCCTTACGTGAGACAATAATGAAATTTTCAGAACTGAAGATTTTCGAGGTAAAATGGGTGTCCTGATTCCGAATCCGAAGTCATTTTTAACCTATTTTGACTCCTAATATCATTTTCCGAGAAATGAGGTGGTTCCATGGCTGTTGGTGAGCAGTGTACATCACTGAAGATGACCATACTTGATCATAGACGAGGGCATTTTCGGTGTATCTCCCGCTCCAGCAAATTTCAGGATCCTTACACAACGATAACGTAAGATACGGAAGTGTTTCCATTAGAAGTGAGACACACTGTATATATCTATTTTTTTGTGTTCATAAATATATCTGAGAATATTCCTTTTCAATACTTTCACCCAATCAAGAGGTTTAAACTTGAACGATGGAAACTTATTTGTTTAGTCCTCATTCGCAAATTCGTGATTAGGTTTTCTCAATTCAGAATTTCTTCCCATGTCCTGTATGATGAATGTCAATTTATCATACGTCCAAAAACAAGGTATACTGTAAACACCATTTTAATAAAGAACAATCATCAAAAACTTGTATGTACATTTACATTTTCAATAGAAATTGTCACATTTTAGGCTCTCTGATGATATTTTGGGGCAAATTATCTGATTTGTCCCTATACTACACGTAGGTATATTGAAATAATATATTCATATTTTATTTTATAGAAACGAGGAGAGAAAATCCCGAAAAATCTTTAGTAAAGTTGTATTATTAAAGATTTCGATCAAATCCTCTGTTTCGTTCTGAACATACCTATAATACTACATAAGTGTGCGGGAAGTAGAGGTGTGTAATGTGACACTTCCCAACCTTCAATGTCGTTAGTAATGACAACATTACATATATGGTTGTAAATAAACATGCATTGTCGTACTCTGTAAGACCAAAATTGATTGACACCCACCTTGATTGAGACCTACCACTAAATATTTTCTATCACCTATTCGATTTTCAGGTGAACCTCTTTAGAAACATAACTTTCAGAAATTCCAAACAAACTTATAATGGTGTCCCTCTTATGGCGTCCAATATGGACACAGTTGGAACATTTCGAATCGCCAAAGCATTATCGAAGGTAAGCGATTACATTCACAATAAAATTAATTAATAAATTATCTCGAGAGCAGCATTGTATGTGAAAATAATATTTTCCAATTCATGACATAGTCACACTCTTTCCAAAACTTGATGAAATTTTGGAACGTTTTTAGAACTCTTAGGAGCAGGTAATAAACGTACTGTAGAGGGCCGAGGCACATGATGTCTGCGGTTAATTATTCATAAAGGCTACGTCCAAAATTTTCACCCTCCTAATTTGGAACCAGTCGACCGATTTTCAAAAAAATATCCATTCTCAATAAAATTAATAAATGAATTATCTCGAGAGATGTGGATATTAATGGGCGTGTACACCTTAGTAGAACTTTTAACTCAAACCGTGTTCATAATGATCCTTTTATACATAAATAATGATTGACGACATAATTCGATCGAAAAATTTACTGGAATGTTTTATTTTCGGACCCTCTTATGACGTAGAAACCTCATCTCGCTATAGTTGAAAGAAAATACCAAACGCCCGACGGAGACTTAGGCAACTGATATATTAATTCTTTCAATTGTGATCTCGCGCCAATTCACTCTGTCAGAAATCATGTATCATTCATTTCTGTCTGGAATAGTCTTGTTTCAGTATTAGGGTTTTGACGTCACATCATCGCCTCGTTTTCAGAGGTCCGAAAAATCGGGGATTTCAATAATTTTTTATAAAACGTAGGGAGCTCACAGCAAGAAACGGTTTGCGGTGGTGAGCTAGTTTGGCTGAGTTCTATCGAATTATGAAATACATTTTTTTTGTGATATAAGCCCATTGTATGAGGAAATATTATTTTTCAAATCATGACATAGTCACACTCTTTTCAAAACTTGAAGAATATTTGAAACTTCCTTAGAACTCTTAGGAGCAGGTAATAAACCTAATTTGGAACCAGTCAACGAGCTCTATTGGAAAATGTGGACGAATCTGAAATATTCAGATTTTCAAGGCCTACTTTTGTTTGTTGAAGAGGTCAAAATTTTAAAAACATTTATTAGGTATAATTTTTTTGGTAACTGTGACTCGTCTATTCAGTCATTACTGAAATACCCCAATACGAAATTTGTTAGTTAATCAATGGGACATTTTTACATTTTTGATTTTTCGATTCACTCTGTATCCAAAACTAAGGAGTTGATATGACCGGTGAAGTAGTCATTCAATGGAGAAACACATCGAATAATTAAATACGAAGTTTCGTCGTTGTAACTTCTGCAGAAGGTTCTCTCTAGGTCAACAAAAAATGAAGTTGAAGTTGAATCGAATAGGCTATAGTCATTGTTTCGATAAAAAAATTATATATATTTCAGATTTGTCCACCTTTTCGAATATTCGCGATAGAAAATAGGCATACGCCACCTATCGGAGTTCTTGAAAGCTGTCAAAGCGGCATGTTTATTTTGTTCTCATACAGTGATGCTTATTGGTCATATTATCATCGAAGCAAACCGCTCAGAAGTGTTCAAGTGGCTGCCGTCAGGTGGGGCGACGTGCTATTTTCTATCGCGAATAGCTCGTTGAGTACTATACAGGCTGATCCACGGTTGATGGCCTATTAGCAGTATCTGGAGAACGAAAAGACAGAACATTCTGGAAATAAGGATGCTCTGATAATTGAACAATCTCTATCCGTCTAAAATATTTTCATCGATACAGTGTTGCCACATCTATCAGAAATAACTAGCAAGATATATATAGGTTGTTCAAAATCTAGATTTTTCAATTTTCGGATTTTTTTGTGTCAAGTGTCGATCAAAACGGCTTACATGTCCCTATCTTATCTTTCGATTCACTATCTGCTGACATTTAATTGGAACATATACAGGGTGAATTCTGAATCTTGAAGCACCCTGTATTTTTTCCAATTAAATTCCAACAAATAGTAAATCAACAGTTAATATAGGGACATGTAAGCCTTTTTGATCGATAATGAATAGTTTCGACACAAAAATAGTGTGATCATTCCTGCCAGATCCCAATTGTGATACATTGATGAAATCATAGCTCTTCAGGAAGAATCTGAAAATGCAATAAAATACAGGGTGTTCCATTTGGAATAACAAAGTGGCTACAGTTGCTTCTGATAGAAGTGGCAACACTGTATCGATGAAAATATTTTAGACGGATAGAGAATGTTCATTTATCAGAGCATCCTGATTTTCAGAATGTTTTGTCTGTTCGTTCTCCAAATACTTCTAATAGGCCATCCACCGTGGATCACCCTGTATAATATGGAATTTTGAAAAACGAGTTCACATGTTTCAAATTATGAGGGTGTTGCGGGTTGAAATCACACACACTGATTATGATTTCTATGGTGGTAACTAGGAGGTAATCACCAATTAGGTGCATAAAGTGGAATAATTCTCAACTGGTGGTGAAAAGTCGCCGTACAGGGTGATCAGTTAAGGGTAGCGAGCGGCCATATCTCATAAGATATTGGTCGTATAGATTTGAGAAAAAAAAAATCATGATAATAGTCGCCAAGAGAAATTGCTGGAAATTATTTTCGAGTTTGTCAAACCTCCGCTAGAGGGCGTAACAACCGACACCAAGTAGAAAAATGGGATTTTTATAGAATTTTGTTCAATGAAAGTATATCGATGATATCATTTTTATATTGAATGACCATTTCCCTACATTTTTTGTCTGTAACATTTTGTTCTATCTATCAAAATGAAGCAGTGGGGGAAGTTCAATTGTTTCTTTAAACAAACCAAGATTTCTCCCGTTTATTCCGACCGATTTCAGCAAACTTAGGCTCATATGAAAGAGCATAATTTGCCCTACACAATGCTCATTTGTTTTTGAATTTTTGAGTTTTGCTGTTGCCGCTAGATGGCGTTAACTGAAATAATAGCAATAGCAAAAAAAACATGTAATGGTATATTAATTTCAATATGTTTTGAAAGAGGATAAATTTCTCTATAATTTAATGAAAATAATTTATCATCTACCTTTTTTTGAACCGTTGATATTGACCAAAATATAATTTTATTACATTAAAAAATGGCACGCCACTGTTTTTTATCAAAATAAAAATCAGTTTTTCAATCTCTCATTAGTTGCTAACAAAAAGAACCTCCTGACTTTTTTTCGTTACACAAACGGTTTTGGATTAAAAACATAAAATAGGTTTACATGGGGCGCCCATATCTAATGTAATTTTGAACCAGTATGTAAACCTATTTTATTTTTTCAATCCAAAACCGTTCGTCTAAAGAAAAAAAGGCAAGAGTTTCTTCTTGTTAGCAACTAATAAGAGATTACAAAACTGATTTTTATTTTGATAAAAAACAGTGGCGTGCCATTTTTTAATGTAAAAAATTATATTTTGGTCAATATCAACGGTTCAAAAAAAGGTAGATGATAAATTATTTTCATCAAATCATAGAGAAATTTATCCTCTCTCAAAACATATAAGAATTAATATACCATTACCGAGACCATTACATTTGTTTTTTTTGAAAAAAACTCAAAAATTTGCTCACATTTCAGTTAACGCCATCTAACGGCGACAGCAAAAGTCAAAAATTCAAAACCAAATGAGCGTTATGTAGGGCAAATTATGCTCTTTCATATGAGCCTAATTTTGCTAAAATCGGTCGAAATAAACGGGAGAAATTTTGGTTCGTTTAAAAAACAATTGAACTTCCCCCACCGCTTCATTTTGATAGATAGAACAAAACGTTTTCGACAAAAAAATGTAGGGAAATAGTCAGTAAATATTAAAATGATATCATCGATATACTTTCATGGGAAAAAATTCTATAAAAATCCCATTTTTTTACTTGGTGTTGGTTGTTACGCCCTCTACCGGACGTTTGACAAACTCGAAAATGATTTCCAGCAATTTCTCTTGGCAACTTATTTTATCATAATTTTTTTTCTCAAATCTATACTGAGATATGGCCGCTCGCTACCCTTAACTGATCACCCTGTACACTCTCAATATTCTTCTTGATGAAGGTAACTTCAATTCAACGAGCGCGGAAAAAATAGTGAATATTAGTTTATCATTATCATTATTTTCAGCATGGACTATTCACTTGTATACATAAGTATTATACTGTCGAAGAATGGAAAGCATTCGCCACTGAAAATCCGGAATGTCTGAAAAACGTGGCAGCGAGTTCGGGAATGGCGGAAGCCGATTTCGTCAGGTTGTCCGAGGTTCTCAAGGCCATTCCTGAAGTGCTCTTCATTTGTCTGGATGTCGCCAATGGGTACTCACAACATTTCGTTGATTATGTCAGAAAAGTCAGGGCCGCCTTTCCCACTCATACCATAATCGTAAGTGAAATTTTAAGGAATATTTCCCTCATATATAAAATGTTCCATAGGAGCAATGCCATTATAGAAAAATTATAGCGGTAATTGCACTGCATCAGAGCGAAGATTGCATTGCGAAAACATCCCTTCGCAATGACAACACTCATGTGAAACTGTGTCGCTATAAACAACAAACAACATTACAAACATAAATGTCAGATTCGGATAGATTTCAAAAAGTGAAAAAATTTTTGCATTTTGGTGAGTGCTCGCCATTGCACATTTTATTCATAGTCTTTTCCAGTATTATGATATTTCTCAGAAAAATAGTAGATTGTTTTATTAGGATCAAAAGTGACACTTTGTTTGACAAGCGAATTTGCTATTTTTCTGCAACCGAAACAATCAAATCAAATAAACATGTGAAGTGACCACCAATGCCGTGCCATATGTATGCAATGCAACAAATATTGACAAATAATTGACAAAAAATGTGGTGAGAATATTCTACCTTCAGGATGATGCCACATTATTTTTGATCTTAGATAAACGAAAACTGAAGTTGGTGCCCGAGGGTCAATCGATTAAAGTGTTTTTTGCAAATGTACTTTTCGAAAAGTGGCTGTAACATTTTTTTATCAAAATTCTTTGTTTCTACGAAAACATTCCTAGAGCACTCTTTCAGAAAATTCAATGATGTGATTCTTTCTGAATACTAAACAAGTAGGATTTGGACAATGTGGTGAAAAACAGAATATTTCATTGGGTAGCTGACAAATTTGAATTGGAAGTTTCACAACATGCAGTTATTATTGAATCAAAATATTAGTGTGGTATATTTTTATATTTATACAGGGTTTCCCAAAATTGCTGAGACACAGGGCTACTACGTGTGATTTTATTGTTTATTGAAAAACTAGCTTCCAGTCAGAAATAAAATTCTGGTATGAGGAAGTTGATTACAAACAACAATAATAAAATAATATAAGGTGACAACAACAATGAAAATTTAAAAAATCTAAAACTGCTAAATCGATCAAGTCATAAAAATCGCCACAGGGACTAATCAGTAGATGGCAAAGTATCAATTTCATCCATTTCGTAATGAAATTATGTGTTTTTTTAATTCAATTTTAAATTTTGAAATATGTCTGCAATTTGTGTGATGGAGTTCAAAATTAGTTGATTGGACCCAATTTATTTATATACCAAAATGTACCGTTTGTCCGTGAGGAGAGTTGCATGAAAAAAAAACAGGTGCATTTCAATTTTTCACGTCGAAATGACCTATATGTATTGATGAAGGTGGCCGTCATATTAAACATTTATTATAAAATACGTTCTGCCTTTCCTTCCACTGTCAACTAATTTTGTATCACAATGTTATTAAACTTGTACTACATAGCAATCATAGCATTATATCGAATAAAACATTTTTTTCTTTCGGAAATATGGGGAGTACCAATAAGTATTTACAAGAGTCTGTCTGTCTTTTGATAAAAAAAATGTTAGAACCGCATACAACCCTTGAGAATGTTCTAGAAATAATGTCAGGGGGTGAGGGTAGTTTCAATCCTTCTACAATTTCTTTTTTTTTCAATACTGATGAATGTAGAGTAATCCTCTAAAATGCACTTTTGTCAAATCTCATAAAACTTGTTCCTCTCATTTCTGAACAGCGAACAAAAATATGTTTTTTTTATGTTTGTCCCGGACAAACGGTACATATTGGTATATAAATAAATTGGGTCCAATTAATTTATTTTGAGCTCTATTACACGTGGTAGCTCTGTGTCCCTGCAATTTTGGAACACCTGTATATTTGTGCTATAATTCTTTTCCTCAAGTGTCTAATTTGGGCCACCCTGTACAAGGTTAATATAAATTAAGCATAATTCCTGGCTCATATCACTGTGTGTTAGGGTTGCTGGGCTGTGTGCACGTGAATATGTAGGTACAAAAGAAGGGAAGATTCTTGCACGAAATCCAAATCTTCTCTTCTTTGGTTCATATCACTGTAACGATTTATTGACTCCTTATCTTTTCACAATGGAGTTGTAGTTGATGATATCATTTTGGATTCTTGGATTCTTCCACAAGAGGATACTACTTTGATACACCCAATCTCAAGAGGTTAAATCAATTCACAGATATATGCTAAGTGGTTCATTCACTTCTCACTATAGTACAGGGTGGGCAAAATTGGGCGTTTTCACCGTCTATCTCAGTAACTAGAGGAGTTATCGAAAAACCGATATACATGTTCCGGGTTCGATTTTGGAGAAACCTCGAATGACACAATCAAAATTTCGATATCTTCATTCGTTTTAGAGATACAGGGGGAAATTGAAAATTTGCCGATTTCGATTTTATTTTCTGACTACTTTACGGTGAGAGGTATCAGAAAATTTCAAACGTATATTTATACAGTATGATGCGTGGAATCCATTGGCATCATCAGAAATTTTATACAGGGTGACGTTGAGAAGATACGGCAGCCAATTATGTTTTTTCTAATGGAACACCCCGTATATTTTGGCACAGTTGAATAGTCCCAGGCGTTCTCATTACAAATATATATATAACCCTACCTTTTCCTTCAACAATTTATTCGCAAAAATATATTCAGTGTGTCACATTTCTTATGGTTACACCCCCGTATATATCTTCTGTAAAAATAATTGAGGTAGGATTCAAAAATTCGCAACTGTCTGGCAGAATGCCTGAATATGATACTTTACCCATTATTTCTAGTATGCCTTAATATTTTTGCGTTCGAAGAGATAATAAATAAGATTTATATTTGAAATTGAAACGGGAACTTTCTAGCTCTGCCAAAATATACGGGGTGTTCCATGAAAAAAATTATTCTGTATCTGGAATTTGGACATCTTCTATAAGGCTATATTTTTCAACGCAACCTACTGATTTTCTAATTGAGTAAATTATTGGTCTCATTTCTGTATCTCAAATGTCTTAATAACAATGATATCAAATCGAATAATTTCCCATTTTATTTCTCACCAAATATCCATTTGTCTGGAAATAACATTCCTTATGATATTTATTTTCCACATTTGGTGAATATATACAGAGTGTCATTTTCAACCTCGATTCTGCCTGTTGATAGCATTATCCAGAAATATCGATGATTCCATATCTGCTGGCGAGCAGTGTTATCATTGGAGATGATCCCACTTGGTCCATGACTCCATGAGTGTATCATTAATTTGTATCTTTCTGACAGTTGCGAATTCTTGAATCCTACCTCAATTATTTCTACAGAAAATACAGGGGTGTAACCATAAGAAATGTGACACACCGAATATATTTTTGCGAATATATCTGAAATTGTGGAGGGAAAAAATAGGGTTATATATATATATTTGTAATGAGAACGCCTGGGACTATTCAACTGTGCCAAAATATACGGGGTGTTCCATTAGAAAAAACATAATTGGCTGCCGTATCTTTTCAACGTCACCCTGTATAAAATTTCTGATCATGCCAATGGATTCCACGCATCATACTGTATAAATATACGTTTGAAATTTTTTGATACCTCTCACCGTAAAGTAGTCAGAAAATAAAATCGAAATCGGCAAATTTTCAATTTCCCCCTGTATCTCTAAAACGAATAAAGATATCGAAATTTTGATTGTGCCATTCGAGGTTTCTCAAAAATCGAACCCGGAACATGTATATCGTTTCTTCGATAACTCCTCTAGTTATTGAGATAGACGGTGAAAACGCCCAATTTTGCCCACGCTGTACTATAACTATCTCATCAAATTTTTTAGGCTGGAAACGTGGTAACAGGAGAGATGGTAGAAGAACTCATATTGTCTGGTGCTGATATAATCAAAGTCGGTATCGGACCGGGATCAGTTTGCACCACTCGTATGAAGACAGGGGTGGGTTACCCGCAACTTTCTGCTGTGATAGAATGTGCTGACGCCGCCCATGGATTGCAGGGGCACATTATATCAGTACGTATCTGCTGGAGTTGTATCAAAGATCTTAGGTAGGTAGTGCATAAAGGGAGAGGAACTAGAGAGTTGAGTGTTGCCATGAACGTTAACTTTTTTTCAATGCTTCACTTAAGTGTTGGTAGTGGGCTTACGGGTGAACGTAATCTCACGTACTTTCACGTATCTATGCAAACAACCAAAAATGACCAATACAAACCGAAAACAAAATGTATTATTATTACGTTACGATGAAATGACGACTCAATTTGAAGACATTACGTAAACGTTATTTTTCGTACGTTAACGTCTACGTGGAACTCAACGTACACTAACTTGTCAATAGGCGAGTGGACTAATTTCATATTTTTTAAGAAATATGTGGTCGATTTTAAGGTGCTAGAATCATCGATAATGCCACGGTTATTTTAAAACTGCTAGAAATTTACAGTTGCCATGTGTTGAAATACGATTGGGAATTTCATAAATTCCCAATTTAGTATTGTTAATACTCCTAATTAGCAATAAAAAATTCAATTGTCTCAAAATGTTCCCTTGTTGTTGTAAATAGTAATTGTATTAATTCACACTAGCGGACATTTGAATCGGTGAACGTGACAACCACGGCGCACGACAGAATAAGAAATATTTGGACATGCTGGTTACGCGAAAAAGTCAAGAATTAAATATAACATTATGGGTTCCTGCAGAGGCGGACCGGGAGGCCGGGCGGTCGGGCAATCGCCCGATGGGCCGGTGCCCTTTGGGGCCGGTAGAAATGTGGAATTTTGAAAAATATATACATAGATACTGCAATGAAAGCTAAATCAAATATTCTGTACGGTGCAAAGAGAACCATTATTTCTAAATGTGAATTCCAGGAAATCACGATTCATCCTTCAAGATGAACTGATGATTGTAGCACAACCATCTTATTGCGCTTCATTATGATATGAACTCTGGCAATTTCAATTTTTGATATCTGTTTTTAAAGGTGTAAATTATTACTTCTCAGTTACTTCATCTATTTTTACTGGCAAGTCCCCGGTACGCTTGGAACGGCCAAATAATAAAATGAAACAATGTTTCTTCCTGGTGGTAACGATCAGGCCCATAATTCCTTGGTCCGTACCCATTGTGTGACCATTGGCTTTTTGAGACTAGTCGCATGTCCAGCACCGCAAAGTAACATTTTTGCAATAATTGATGGTTTTTGAACCTTTCGGGCCTGTGCAACAACAAAATTCTTTGTGTTTTCGCCTGGTCAAATTTTCAGGTAGGTGAAATAACATATGCAATGTTGGTATACATTACAAAAAGGAATATCTGTTCGCCATGTGGAATAATTGCAAGTAACTGATGTAACTCTTCAATGTGTCTTAAAATTTCAATGGCTTTCTATATTAGTGTGAAACATATAACAAGATACTGATATACGTCAAATCTCAGACTCATTGTGAAAATAAATGAATCTAGTCAGCATCCCTTCAAATCTCTAGGTTTTTATTTCTTGGACACTGAATCCGAGACAGACAGAACCCCAAACTGCGCCCTGAGATGAAGATACGTTTCATGGTAAAATAATATTAACAGGAAACTCAATGAGGAAGGTTCATGAATAGGTCAGAAATTATCATCCGGCTGATGAAATGAGCCTTGATAGTTTGCAAATGCAACGGATAGATTTTATCTCGAAGTGGGAAATACTGTTGAATACTTTGGATAGGCTATATTCTATAAGAAATTCTCTAAGCCAAGAACATTTGGAGGCTTTCATGATGATGAAGTGCGAAAAATACATTCTGAATCAATAGGAAGCGACGATATAATTTTCGATCTTGTTGAAAAATGTGGATCCATGAGAGATTTACGCTCGGTTGATGTTTTATCATTTGTTGTGGACAAATAAGTTTCCTAGTTTTTTCGTAGCTTTGATATTATTCACCAAAGTGCTTCATGTTCCTCTACCATAGAAATATCGTGTATTTTATTCATGTTCATCTTTCATTCATAAAAGGTAATTTTTCTTGAGTATATTTGATGTTTTACCGACAGTTTTTTTGTTTGAGTTTTGATTTTAATGAAAACAATTTTTTTAATTTTTTTTTTTGCATTTTTGTCTATGTTACTGAAATATGTAATGAAATTATATGTATAGCAATAATAGCTTCGAAATTTTCTCCGAAGGAGGGCCGGTAGGATTCAATTCGCCCGGGCCGATTGAAAGGTCCAGTCCGCCCCTGGTTCCTGCTCCTATATATTATGTTTTATTCAAAGACAGGATTCTAATATCTTTTTGATAACTTGATTATAATTGGTGAGTTGACAACCTTGCTTCATGAGTGGAAATGGAAGATTATCTGACCAATAACGAAACAACATAAAAACGAGCTCTGAAATTCAACAATTTCGAGCAACGCTATAGATTCATTATCTACATAAAAAAACGTGAGAACATTAATTTAGGTTTCTAACGACACAGTGGAGAAAATGCCATTTTTTTGTATGATTTCAGGATGGAGGATGTACTTGCCCAGGTGATGTGGCCAAAGCTTTTGGAGCTGGAGCCGATTTCGTGATGGCTGGCGGAATGTTCTCTGGTCATGACCAGTGCGACGGTGACATCATCGAGAAAAACGGGAAAAAGTTCAAACTTTTTTATGGCATGTCTTCCAGTACCGCCATGCAGAAACATGCAGGTAAGTCGATGAACATGTAATGCGGCGTGATGTAAGTTTCCTATCTGAGAAAAACTGTAACCACACAAAATAGGTATAACAAGAAGTGAGCCACTGGCAAAATGTTGCGGAAAAAAATAATCATCGCGGTGGGAGAACGTTACAGCGTGGGACAGAACGTTGCAGCGAATCAATTAAAATTACCTATTATTGGTACGTAAATTACCAATAATCTCAATTGACGTAGAATCAAAATTTCTGACCATGAGCGAAGTGAGCGAGCGGTCTGAAAAAAAAACATCATTGAAATAGCGAATCACTATCGGCCTCAACAGTAAATGCCTTCACAGTACTTTTTTTATGGAGGAAGGAAAATATCCCTTCTACATAAAAAAGTAGACTACTTTCTTCAAACAATCTCACCCTATTCGACCCAAATAAACCTCTGTAAAAGGTATATTTTTCGAAAAAACACTTGAGAAGACAGAAAAATGTCGACCGTCGTAGTCATTGAACCCGGGTCGCCGGTGTGGCGTCCAAACACTTCAAAATTATTTATTCAATCTTTTTGTCAATTAGGTGGACAATTTCAAGCACAACAAACATATTCAATAAAAGTGATGCAGAACAAGCCTGCACGCAGTGTGGAGTTGCCTGGTGTTAGACAGGGGGATGTTTGTTAGGGTCCCAGTCAAAGAATATCATTTCCCGAAGCCATGCTCTTTAGAATGAGAAATCCCCAAGGTGAACCCAGTTGGGCTAGGGCTGAATACGAACATTGGCCCTGATAGAAATTTGCTGGTTTACGAGGGAAAATGGAAAATAAAAACCCTCGATCTCTACTACTCAGTCTTCTTGGATTTTCGCTTCCTGACCAAATCGAGTAGCCACGCCCGTGCTTTTCATACATTCCATGCTCGGCTCTGGTGATAGTGATATTTCTGGCAGGCATCCGAACACACTGACAAGTACGGTTCGCGGCTACTTGAATATAGCAGTATGAAGAAAGAATTCAGTCGCTGTACTTGCACTGCAACGTCCCCCCACCTCAATGATTATTCATTTCCTCCTGTCTGTAGACGCTAGTCAACTCTTCATCCTAGATCTCTCTTTTGTTTGCATTTCAGTGTCGTAAAATGCACTAGATTATGAATCATCTGATATTTCATGCAGCTACTCCAACGAATTTCAAACGAACGAATTTGAATGAAGAGAAAAAGTGCAATTCGAATTTCAAAATGAGGTATTTGATGTAACTGGTTCCCCAGTATAGGTGTATATCTATTATAATTATAATCCCACATGTAGTTCAAGTCATTCATCGCGATTTTATAAATTCTTGAAGTTGAGTGTGGAATTCTCACCTGCCCAAGACCAGCAGGTGAAAATAAATTACACTGGTGTGAAATGCACTTTTCAAAAGAGTTACGGTATAAATTACACGAAGTTAACGAATGTGCTTTACTTTTCGTACAAAAGGAAGGTCCTTTAGTTATGAGATCTAGTTCAATTAATTTTTTCTATTCATAGCGAATTCCTTTGGAAAACTAGTTCACATAGTTTAGAGCTCAGTGCAACATTTCTCGCACGAGCTCTAATAGGTCCGTGCGAAGTCAGTGCAGTTCTGAAAATGGCGGAAATATTGAATATGAATAGATTGAAAACCAAATTGTTAGTGGCAATTTAATTATCATCATCAAATAGTGATGAGTAGTTGGAGGTTTCAAGAAAATAGATAAGACTACTTCTCAGAATTCATAATTTTGTTGAAAGTATTCTGCAAATTCAATGATTGAGAGGTACTTATCAGAAAAAGTACATTTACTTTGTTCTCAATTGAAGTTTAGAAAGAATATCAGGATGCGGACATGTTATAAACCAAGAAAAAACAACTTATCCGATATTACCTCCAACAATAATTGTATTATAATATTATTTCGTATTCCATTGAGGATGCGTCAGTTCACATTTTGGAGAGACAATGACGGCTAAATGGACTGTCTGACGAGTACTACATGACTGTCCAATCACTCAGTACAGTGTATTCTCCACCAGAGGGGTTTACTTGCCGTCCTTTGCGGAGAAGTCATTTGTTTAGCTCTTATTCGGTTGTTTTCCAATAACATAGGTTATATTGAATTATTATTATTATCAAGTGTCAAAACTGTGTCACTGTCAGGTCCCTGATGTGTTCTGTTGAATATCGATAAATTCTTTTACTTTTTCGGATTTCCATTCAATCAAGCATTCTTCTTTGTGTTTAGTTCTGGTAGTTTATTTATTCAGGTTTGCTAGTTGTGTCTTCATCATGTATTTACAGCCTTCTAGCGTATGAAATGGAATGTATCAATAATCGTATCAAATATGGGGTTTGCTTTTTCGTATCTCATACCCAGTGATAAACTCCACAGCAAGAATGGTCGAATTTTATTTTGGAAGACATTGGTAAGAATATGATTTTTCATGTACACTGTTCTGATGGTTTTCAATTTCAGCCTCGATTCCACCATTAGAAACACTGGTGTTAATTCTGGTGTTGAAGTTTGTGTCAATGATTTTGGAAGACACTAGACACTATAGAGTGATGATCAATAGCACTACATATGGCGACTTATCAGGATGGGGACATACATTCAGAAAGGATCGCTTACCATAATTTTCAAGGTATGTTTAGTCTGCATTGTTGTTGCATAGGTAGGTAGGGTAGAAGTAGTATTGTTGAAAACTGTTTCATGTGAGCCTGATGGTTCAAGCCATCAATGCAACGTAATCAAACTTAAATACCATTTACCTACAGGATGGGCATCCCAAAAAGCAACACTATAAGAATGAAAGAGGAATGGAATTTAAGGTATGCTCTTTGAATCCCAGAGAATCATCAGTCTAGGCCAACATCAGGAGTTTTCTCGAGTGCCACAACTACAATTTGAGGTATTTTGTGTTCCTGCTTCCTGGCAAATATCACAGAATAATTATTCTATCAGAGATTTTCAAAAATGTTTTTCACTGCTGTGATAATTTTGTCACAAAAATTTAAATTAATTATTTGGCCTAAGTTTATGTATTATGTATGCCCATCTATCAATGAAATCCTGTATAGCTTTCTTGTGTTCTTGATAGAAGAATGAGATGGTATGTGAAATAAGGTAAAATGTTGTCACTGATACTAGCCCACTAACTATAGCTTCCCCAAGTAGATCTAAAAAGATGAAAAGAGCAAACTCAACTTTTGAAATGCATATAACTATTTCTGTCTCCACAAAGTTTTGAAAATGGTTGAAAAATATGGATTGATAGATAGATAGATGATATGTATAGAAAGCATTTATTCAAGTAATATAATAATTTTATGCTATAGACAGTCACCATAATAAACAATTTCCTTTTCCATTAAATTAGCTAATGATGAGCTCATATTCGAACTCAAAACATGCTTCTTCTCTGCTGATTTCTGAATAGATAATAGAAATTGTGGGATACACAATAATATATCATCTTCCTCTTTTATTTCCAGTGTCCAAAGGATCTCCAGGTAACCTAGCTTCATCCTCCAAAGTCAAGAACCCATATCCAAGCCGTTTTATATTCATTGTGTTGCCATCCCCAGAACCTATAAAGAAATGTTGCTATAGAACATTCAATGATTTTGAAGCTGGCATAGTTCTATCAATTTTGCAATACAATTTATCTGTATATCTGATATGAAATATATAAGTATGAAATGATAAATTGATATTTAATTTGCTATTCATGGAGATACCTGATATTGTAGTTAAAATGCCTGATTATTTTTCTGAACCCTCACCTAATTAAACAATTGTTCACAAAGCTCACCTTATATAGTAACTATTCTGGTTATGCAAAGGTAGCATCATCAGAATTGAATGTCTTCAGTCATCATTCAATCAAACCTCATGAAGAGCTGCTTCAACATTGTGTTGAGAAAATTCAGTATCTTCCTGAAAATACAAATTAAGAAATATCACTTGAGATCACAGATTTTGTGAAACAATATGAAATGGTGCAGTACATTTCACTTTGAGAATACAGAAGTATCTGATTATCAGGGCTACCATGGCTCTTATTAGGCAGTTAAAAATTCAATCAATGGAATAATTGAACATGTCCTTACCTATTCACGAATTGACGAAGATGATTTCCACTTGAATGACATTATTATTTATGCATATAATAGCGTTATTTGGCATGAACACTCCTAACCACTTCTTTTTGTTGGCCTTTTCACAGTTTTACTTGGTATCTCGAACAAAGCTCTCCAATCTCGAGTGACAATGAGTGACAGGCTGACAGTAAGAAAATTTGTCAACAAATAATGCAGGATCATGAATGCAGGTTATGTTGAGAAGCTCATTTGACACAGGAAATAGATGACGCCACTTGCCGTCCCTTCAAAGTTTCATTACAGGGCGATTTGCCGATTTTCGCTGAATGAACAGTCATGTATAACCCGTCAGACAGTCCATTTAGCCGTCATTGAGAGAGAACTAACTTAGTACGGGTGCAAAACTGGTGCAAAACCAGTGCACCACCAGGTTTACTGCTAATGAAATTCGCCTGAATTCGCTATAAGATTACATTAAGAGGAGGGTTTCACTAAAATGGTTTAGCAGACCCTTTTTCATTTGACCTTTCTGGCCTTGTCATGAATTCAATCTCAAAACTAATTGAATTATCGTAAAGAGGAAGGTTCAAATTTGGGAATCAGTATTTTTCGGAGTCAAAACTCGTCCATTGAAAAAAGTTAGGGGTCTTTGAAAAATGTAAACATTGTAAATTTTTGTGTCTCAGATTTTAATAAAATTACCTCATTGTATGGAACCAAAATTTAGGAATGCGTTACCAAAATATCAGCTCCTGGAATGTCTCCATTCGAACAAAAACCTGAAATTTGACACAAGGACGCCATTTTTCGATTATTAGGTTTGGTTTCGTTGCAATATCCTTCGAAGATAAAGTAGGAAACATGAATTTGGTAGTTCGGACCGGTTCGGACCCTACCT